GTTTTCTATTGGATAATGGATCAACCAAATTGAGACTGCCTACGAGCGACAAAATCGGGTTCGGAGGTAGATGCCTTACCAAATGGCCGTTCGGCTTGCGAAAGGGCCATATTTCCTCAGACATCCCTCAGATGAATCTCCAAGGGATGAATCGTAACGCAATGCGTGATGGCCGGTCATAAGTTCATTGGCGAGGAACAAACTTGCACCTAAAGTGGATCGGCCGTCTAGAAAAACAACTTTGTGAGAACTCGGGTAGTCATTACTGGAGAAGACTGACCTGACGACAGAATCCACAAAGTCGGTAGGTTCACCGGATTCCCCTTCCATGGGGACAATTTCGAAAGAGGACAAGACTGCTGCTGTAAACAGCAGAGCCGTTCTCTCTGACAAGTGGCGACCCGGACATACTCTAGACAAGGTACGTGATGTGAGCCAACGATGTTTGGGTAGAGCAGACTACTCGCCTGTTTCCGAATCCAAAGGGAATCGACGACATATCGGGCAATTGTTTAGCACGCGGATTGCATTCCGGTAAGAATCGTTCCGGGTTATAGACGTCTGCGTCCTCTCCCCATAGCTTTGGATCCCGCAGGATGCAACTATTTCCCCTGGTCAGCTCTAATCAATCAAGACAAAGAGTAGGACAAACCCGATGTTAGCAAATACGTTGGAACCCTTTGGAATGTAGTAACCCTTGTATATATCTTCCTCCGTGGTCAAATGCGCGATCCCCAATGGACTCGTCACGTTCAGTCTCATCGACTCGTTCCATGCTGCTTTAAAGTAATGAAACGTTTGAATCTCGGCCATAGTGGGAGACCCTCCAACTCCAATACATTCGTCAAGCTCCTTCTGAATCCTCCTTTGGACATGGGGATGCAGCATGAGCGAGTAAAAGAAATTGGTAATAGACGAAGAGGTCTAGTGATTCGGCATGATCAGGGTTGAGCCGGCATGCATTGGAGTTCACTCACAGTATCAAAACCGGCTAGTCCAGGATGTCAGCCAAGTCAGATGTCAACACGAGAAAGGGCGCTTACCGGCGTATAGCGTACCCACTGCATCCCGTAGACGGTCTCTTGGTATTGAAGGGTCGCCAAGAAGTCTCGAGACGATCGATTCGTCGGCGACTCCATTAGCCTGTATGTTGAGAGGAGGTTAGACGAGAGGCTAGAACCCTGCAGTGAAAACACGCACCAAATCCTTTTCCACCAACTCAAAGGCAAACGACCGGACCCTCG